GTGCTGCCGGGGCCGCGTCCCCTGGGGCAGGGGAGGCACCTTGAGCGGCTTCTGCCAAGGTGTTGCCGGAGCGGGGCCGGGCCGCTGCCCCGGGGCGCAGACACACGGCCCGCCATCAAACGGGACGAGCCCGGCAGGCCCAACAGGCGGGAAGCCGGCAGCTGACCGAGCAGATCCCAAGACTGGCCGTGGCCATCAGCCGCTCGATGAATCCTCTACAAGAAATGTATGAAGTGGTCCCAGGTCACGGGGCAGCATCTCTCAGGCCTGAGGGCAGGAGTCCGGTTCCTGCACAGAAGCTCCCAGAGGGTCATACATCCAAGTGGCACCGGGGACAAAGCTGCTGCTGCTTCTTCGCCTCTGGGAATCCTCGGCATCTGGGATCTCTCTAGGTGTGAAATGTTGATAGTAGTTCAAAAAAACCCTCCACCAAGTCGGTTTATGGAAGACAAGCCTATCCCGTGCAATACACCGCTGGGATGGCAAGTCCTGAAGGCACAGGCAGTAGTCATCTGAGAGGCTGTAGTTAGGACAGCACAGCTGTGTGTCTGATGTGCCGGCTCTGTGCCTGTAGTTTCCTTCAGTGTTGTGCATGGGGCATCGCTGGAGACAAGACGGGAGCAGACAAGCTTTGGTACCACTCAGTGAAGTTCTTTCATCACCGAGCTGCCTCCTCTCACAGTGAGCATCCTTTCTGCAGAACCTCTGCAGGCATCAGAGCAGCATCACTGAGTATTTCCCCTAACTGAACCCAGGAAATCAAACGTACTGAATTTTTAATTTCATACTGAATTTTTAACGACATCTTCATGCTGTTGCAATGACTTGCCCACTGCCCAGCTCCAGCTCCATGACCCCCTCGGGTAGCTGCATGTTAGAGGTGGGCTGCCGCCTGTTCACAAATGGGCCCTTTTGCCCTTGCCCGTGGCCCTTCAGCCCAGCTGCAGCTGCAGCAGCAGGCACAGCGGCAGGGCCCCAGCTTGGCGAGACAGCGCTGGTGCACGGGGTGCCTCTTGCACAGCGCCTTCCCGGCACCGCACGCTCTGCGACAGCCCCGACCACCACACTGGCGATGGGCTGTGTCGTGGAGGGGAGCAGAGGAAAGGGTGATTCTGGTACCGGCAAGGGGCTGTAGGTCAGCAGGGACAAGCTGGAGAAGGCAAAGAGATGGTGGAGAAATGAATGGGAAGGACTTTGTTTCCCCACGGGTTATTTCACTTCTCACATCCGAACAACATTTTATAAAGTAAACACACATCAAAGTAGTTCCCACCTCTTCTTTGCTGGCACATATTGTGTCCCTGCAGCTTGTTTTTGGGGGGCACGCTCCAGCCCATGGCTGTGTTGCATTTTCACACTGCCAGTCAGCCAGGTACTGGCTGCCTCTGTCCTTCTGAACCCTGAATTTGGCTCTACAAGGATGAGGTTGTTAGAGTAAGATCTGGATAGCAACCCTCATATTTGGAAGTCTGTTGTTCTACCGCAGAGATGCAATGAGCAAAAATCGTATTTATCCTTTCTGGTAGACTGCAGGGACAGCTGAATATGGACTATTGAAGAACATAGCTGTGGTATTTTAAAATTCTGCTTTATTTTTATTCCTGGAAATACCAGCCTCACATTTTTATTTTAAATCTCATAAATACATTTATACCAATCTTTATTTTTCTTTCTCTAATCACTGCTCTTCTCAATGTGCAATGAGATAATTGGATATGGCATGTGCTAGAAGGTTTAAGTCTCAAACCATCATGTGGAAAATACCTTTGAATACTTTAGTGACAGCAGAGCATTTGGTGTAAGAAAAATTAGTTTGCATTAGCCACGGAAAGTACTCAGCCTTTTTGTTATGACCAGCTGACAAATAGCCTGAGCTGTTTGACGTTTGTGGCAACAGTGATCGATTCCCACAGCCATGTTCCCAACCCTCTTAGAAAATGAGGCTTTGAATGGAGCTCATTCTGTAACCGAGAGGGTTCAGACTGGAAGGGTTGCATTGAGGTAGCCCCTCCCTGCTCTTCTGCTGGGTGCAGGCTTTGGGGTTACCCCCCCCTCCACACTGTCTCAGACCCAAGTGCATTCAAAAGAGCTCTGGCTATTAGTATAGAGGTCCCTGAGCAAAAAAACGTGCTGTAGGAAGCCAGGTAATTT